GGTCCCCGTAAATAATTTTCACTACAGGGTTGGAAGAAAGTCTTTCATCTTCACTGATTTGTTTATTCAAGTCCTGAAGTGCTTCATCCAAAGCCTGCTTAGAAAACATGGCACGTGTGTGAGAGGCATCATAAAAACAGAGTGCATAAAAATAACTTTATAGAGTCATAGAGCCGAGGTGGCGCAGTGGTTAGGGTGCAGTACTGCAAGCCACTTCAGCTGACTGTTATCTGCAGCTCAGCGGTTCTAATTTCACCGGCTCAAGGTTGACTCAGCCTTCCATCCTTCCGAGGTGGGTGAAATGAGGACCCAGACTGCGGGGGCGATATGCTGACTCTGTAAACTGCTTAGAGAGGGCTGAAAGCCCTATGAAGTGGTATATAAGTCTAACTGCTATTGCTATTGCTAACTTTTTAATAGCAATTATTAGAATCATAGCATTCACTCAGGAACAGGGGTGAAATCCTCCTGGTTTGGCCAAACCAGCAGGGACAATTGACATCAGTTCTCCAAACTGGTAGCAAAAATCCCTGATGGCCCTGCCCATGCCCGCCTGGTCGCCTGTCGCCGCTCACCTCTTCCGACTGCTCAACCCGCCCACCCAATCTGGACATTTCTCCCTCCATTCACAGCAGAGCTGCTGCAGCCTGTCCCTTTAAAGTAGACCCAGGGAGGGAGGGGGCTGAGGCAACCATAAAGGGAGGAGCAGTTCTGCTGTGAACAGAGGAAGAAACATTCAGATTGTCTCTGCCACAGAATTCAACGTTAAGAGACAATCCAAACGTTTCTTCCTCTGTTCACAGCAGAGCTGCTGCAGCCTGTCCCTTTAAGATAGTCCCCAGGAGGGAGGGGCTGGGGGAGACCATAAAGGGAGCAGCAGCTCTGCTGTGAATGGACTCATACACACTTTTTCCTACCAGGTTCTGTAGGCATAGCTTGGCGGTGGTGGAGGCATGTGACTGAGAAGGCGTGGCCATGAGTGACATCAAGTTGGCCATGCCCACTCAGTCATAGGACCCCACCACCAAGCCATGCCCACAGAACGGGTAGTAAAAAAAATGCATTTCACCACTGCCCAGGAATCTGTACAGCTGTAATGAACACCTGATTGACTGACCTTGGTTATTTTCTTAATTCAAATATACTGAGTTTTCAAAAGCTGAATGGTAATTTCTTAAAAGCTACAGTTCAAAAGTGTGGTTTTGAAATGCGTCTCATAGGTCTCTGTTTTGATAAGAGCTATATGAAAAGTCAGCTTTTCCACAATTCTGGATCGAGCCAAGAAACTAAAACCACGATAAGGTAGATACACAAAAAATGTTTCAATATCTGGGGGAATGTAGCATGGGGCTGTTTTCCAAAGGGCAAACAGGTAGCAGAGATTGTAAAGTTTAGTTGGCAGGAAGATGGGTAAAAAACCCCTCCTTCCTGGTATAGGGAGTATTCTACAGATATATAGAATATCTGTAGTTATGGAGATAGTTGCTTTAGTCTAGCAAAATTCTGTCTATAGGTGAAGAACAATAAAGGAAACTACTCGGAATTAACTCCATATGCTGATCTTGGTTCTTGGGAACCTGTCACACTATCTTCCATGTCTATTTGTGATCTGGAACCCAGCTCTAGACAATTTCTGGAGTTCACCCCAAGCACTAGAGTTACCATGGGGGTGTTGAATTTGCCTCTATGCAAGGCTGTGTATATATTAGTTCTTAAGTATAGGATTTGGGGAAGGTTAAAATGATGGATATGTCAGCCCTCTCCCTTTGGCAGGAAGTATACTCAAAAACCAATGAGCAAAACCTCACAAGCATACTTAATTCATTAAACAGAACTAATTAATACCTTGCTTCTTTCAGATAATTGGGGAAAATAAGATAGCAGCAATTTCTTGTTTTCTAGCAATTGATGTTACAGATTGCTAATAGACAATAGAGGCCCAACTACTAGCCTTATTATACCATTAATATGATGTATCGACTCCAGATAGTATTGCCAACTGACTTTGTGTCTACAGCACCAAGAAAAAACAGTTTTTCTTATGTCTAACTTACATTTTGCCCAGCGTCATTGTTTATATGTTCCAGAGCATATAAAATCTACTTTAATTTTAAATTCAGCCTGTTTATACGTTCCAGAGCATATAAAACCTACTTTTAAATTCGTGTGTGTGTGTGTGTGTGTGTGTGTGTATACGTAGAGAGACAGAGACAGACAGACAGAGGCACAAGCATTTTTTTTTTACCTTTAATTTAAGTTGAATGATGCATGCAACACTTTTTTCCCATTTGTTTCTGTGCTCTTTGTTGGAAAGCTGGCTGTTAAAACGTACTGGCCCTGCAAAAGATTTATTGCATTTATTTGGTCCCCAATTAGCCAGTTATTTAGCTTCTTAGATTCAGGGGGGGAAAAACTACTAGATTTTTCTGAAATAAA